AGTTTGGCTTTTATTGCTTGAAGAGATAGCGTGGCCACCATGACTTTTTATAAAGGAAAACATTTAATTGGGGCTGTTTTACAGTTTCAGAAGCTTAGTCCATTATCATTATGGAGAGAAACATGGCAGCATGCAGGCAGACATTGTGCTGGAGAAGAGCTGAGAGTGCTACATCTTGATCTGCAGGCAGCCTGGAGGAAACTGGACTCACGCTGGGTATAACTTGAGCATAGAGGACCTCAAAGCCCACTTCCACAGTGACATACTTCCTTTAACAAGGTTATGTACGCCTCCTAATAGTGCTAGTCCCTGTGGGTCAAGCTTTCCTTTAACAAAGCCACACCTCCTAATAGTGCTAGTCCCTGTGAGTCAAGCCTTCAAACAGGAGTCTATAGGGGCCATTCTTTTTAAACTGCCACACCATGTAAGGGACTACAGTCATACGTTTCTGAGATTAAGGTAGAGGTCTGATATGAGCCTCAGTAGCAAGGACGTAGTATGACCTTTTGGTATGTGACTCTTCAGCATACCCACAGATTTGGTTTTGAAAAAGGACATTTACCTCAGTCCTGGGAGAGAAGATGACACAAGGACAGAAGACCTGTCAGTCACAGTGAACCACTAGATGAATAAATGAAGTGAGCGAAGAGAAGAAGGAAGGGAAGAAAATGTTCTTTCTATTCAGCACTGATTATTTGATGATTTTCTCCTTGAAGGAAAACTTTTGGGATAATCCTTTTAGCATTTATTTTCTGTTGTCAAACCTCAATCTCATTTGGGTGCAGACCCAAGAAGGCAGGCCTGGCCCGGGTGTCTGTCAGGGAACCCTCAGGGCTGTGACAGTCAGACTCATTCAGGTCTAGTGGTAGTTTCATTGTGAACTTTCACCTTAATCTTGCTTGTGACCCTTTCCCAGCTTTGCTGGCCTTGCATTCACTTCACACCTTGGCTTTTACTCAGCTTTTTCTTCATCCTGCTGTGCACACTTCCTGGAGAGATGTAAGATCTTCCAGTATGGCCTCAATCATGCCTTCCTGCATTCCTCCAAGCAACCTTTTGGCACTATTAATTCTACTTGGTATGGCCACACTGTCACCAGATATCATATGTATATATACATGTATATACATATACACATGCACATATATGTTTATCATATAAACATAAATAGCTATATTAAAATAATGGTCAGGATTAAAGTTCTCTTATCTGACAGGCAGTCATTCCAAGATGGCTTGTTTGTTTGGTTGGTTTGTTCCTGCTCTATGTCTAAACCTTTATGTGAGCATCAGTGCTGATTTTCCAAAGGAAAGGCAGTTTTGTCTGATTGGATTGTTCTCTGGTCTCCTGTTTGGGAAAGAAACACAACGCTAATTCATGTTCCTTTATAAATGTTCAAGGTTAGCTTGTTCATCAAAACTGTGCTATTTGTCAAGCTGAGTCATCTTTCTAGAAGGTACTTTTGAAGAATAAATCCTTTCACTACAGATTTGGAAATCCAGCAGCTGATGTGGTTCACAAATACCTGACAGAACCAGCCTGGGAAGACCAGACACACTTCCTCTGTGAGACTGAAGGGACTTTCCTTTTTAACCAAGAGATGAGATGTGAACACGAATCTGATGTTATCTATGGGGCATTCGTGCTGCTGTCCACTTTTCAACTCTTCAGTCTCTTTCCACTTAGTGTGAAATATAGATCCATGGAAGGGACAATAAAATTTAATCGTGTCTGGTGAGATGACTTGATATTTAAGAACACTTGTCGTTCTTCCAGAGGACCCAGCTTTTGTTCCCAGCATCCATATGAACGTCTAGATTCAGGGGATATGATGCCTTCACTGACTTTTGAGGATGCCAGGCAGGCACATGTTGGCACATACATCTATAAAGGCAAAATACTCACACACATAAAATAAAAAATAAAAGCCTTGAAAACTAAAGTTTTAATTTTGAACCAAAACTTGAAAATGTAAAGGAATTGTAAGGCATCACTAATTAGAACATTATCAGAGGATCCTATTTTGGAAACATGTCACCTTTGCACTAGCTATTGGTGAGTGACTTACTATTAAAAATAAATCAGCAGATGTGAGGGGATCTGGATATTTTCTTAAGAAGACACAGTGGTTTGAAATACCTGAGTAATGTCAATTTGGGCATTTGTTTTTTCACCACACTGCTGTATAGCCTGATGCTCTTTGGCAAGATTTGTTCTAATTTTATTTCAAAATTTTCTGCATTTCTACTTTGCTGGCTCACATTGCTAAGATCTTGCTGTATTTTGTCAGTTTTAGGAGGGATGTTTCTGCAGTTTTCTGTTATGCTTAGGCTGTAGACTCTTCTCCACAGTGAGAAATAGCCACTGAATGTATTAAAAAATAAAAGAAGTACAAAAGATTCCAGCAGCAAGATGCTGTGATGAGAAGCCTAGCATTAGGGTTATGAAGACAATCTGATTTAGCAAATAGCTAATGGGACACAACAAAAGCTTGCTAGCAGGGCTAGAATTTAGACAGCACTTGGTTGCCATTCTCGATCGAGGAGTCTGTAGTGTCCACGTAAGAGTCTCTTAGTCTTTGTGCTTCTACTCCAGGATAATCCTTACATCAGGTGCAACACCATGGACCATGGACGTAGAAGGTTCTACTAGCTCTGTGATCCACCCATTGCCTGGCAAAAGACTATCGTTAATGGCCCATCAACATGTATCACTAAATCTAAAGTCATACATGATTATGAGGGACATATAACCCTTTGAATCAGAAGCATTATCTGTGGATCAAAGCATCTTAGCCACCTCCTTCATTGTTCTACAGTTAGTGGGAACTGTTAGTGCCTGAATCAAGTGTGGGTTTATATGGTGGTTTTAGGGGCTGGCGGATAGACTTGGGATTTGATGATATTTATCTTCAGGTTTGAGAGCCTCCTGCTCTCTCACACTCTGCCTTGGGTTCTTTGTGTAATTATAATGGAAGTTACTTGGGTTCCAAAATGGCAATGCAAGTTTATGATCCATTGGAAATGTCACCATGGCATAAACACCTCCCTCTGCTTCCTGCTGAAACTATTTGATAAAGCTGCACAGTGTTGCCAAGCCTCTGGAAGGAATGTGAGGTGTTCATGATGGAAAAGCAGTAACTCATTAATGAGAGCCCTAGCAGAGTGACCATACGAGCTGTGGGCTTCTCGCGAGCTCTGCTGCCTGTCTGATGTCAGCAGGACCCAGTTTTCTAAACAGGGAGCCATTTAGTCCTTAGTGGAAGTGTGCTATTTAGTCATATGTTCCTTATTTCTCTACCTGGTTTAATCAGTATTGCTGTCATTGCTTTTCTGGTGAAATGAGGCATGCCACCCACAAGTTCTGCCATCTGAGGCCCCAGCTTTGAAAGCATTGCATCAACTCATTTAAAAAGTGCAGCAACTAGAAATCACGGTGCCTTTGGTTTCCTGAACTGGTTGAGCTAAAACTAAAAGTATAAATTTGGCTTAAGTCAAACAGAGTCTTAGAATAAAGTCTGATTATTCCACGTGTAGCACTTTAAACTTCTCTTAAGAGGACTAGTCTGTTTTTTTTTTTTTTCAAATCAAGCACAGCATGCCAAATGGTATATCCCAAATGGTACACTGACACTGAGAGTAAGTTTCTAATATTCTCACCATACAAACAGGAACAATTTGAGGTGATGGATATGTTAATTAGCTTCACTTGATCATTTTACAAAGCACTACACAACCATAACATCATTTTGTATGTCCAAAGTATAACAGACCACAACTTGCCATCATATGACAAGAAATAAAAAAGAAAGTGTCCAATGTGACACATTAGTACAGAGACATTTCAATTCATTAGCTGAGGCTGAATCTTAGACTTGTCACCTATGGGGCATAATTGAATATTCAATCTACAGGTCATGTTAGCTGTATGGTGCTCTTGGAGTAGGTCTGTGAGATTAATGCTAAGCTAGTGATTATGTCCTGAAATGGAAGATTCAGAGAGTTTACTCTGACAGCTGACAGTTGAGGCACAGGAAAGAATGAGGCAGGCTCTTTATATTCACCTCCTTCCTGCCTAGGAAAAATATGAATGACATTTAGAGGTTCGGACTTACCTTCCAGAGTCATTATACAGTGAGGACCTGCTGTTGCTGTCCTGCCTGTGTCATTCTGGGGGACGAATGTCCACTAACTCAGAAAAGGTGATGGCCAAAGCTGTGGCTAGAGAGACTGTCCATACTGATTATAGAAGGAAAAGGGCTATTTATTTAGGAAAGATCACCATCAAATCACTGGACAGGAGAAAGAGCTAAGAACACCAACTCTTATTACCACGAGGGGAAACTCTTGTGATTCTCTATGCATTCTGGTGTTCAGCAGAGCATTCTCAAACATTTCCTCCCAGCTAAGCACCTACCAATGCAGATGAACCATTTGCCAATGCTGTTATAACTCTTTTTGTCCTTTTCTGAGTAGTGTTTAGGTCAGAATTAGAGTCTCTGATGTTGTGGGGAGCACCCAATTTAGTGTTACTTTCTCTAGATGGCAATGTGGGCCATCTCTTATTTTGTTTATGGCTATGGTGTGCGATTTGATCACATTTGAGCAGATGTCAAAGCGAGCTCTGATTCCAGGCTTGCATCTGTACTGCACCTGCAGCTCTCATGACAGAGACCACACAGGTATTCTAATCATACTTTTTCCCTGATCCGACTGTGATCAGAGGTTCAAATACAATCGTGTTTCTTCTGTGCTGGTTCTCTCTCTCTCTCGGGTACAGCAGCATGTGAATTCTATGAACACACTTAGAGGCAGAACAGCAGTGGGGTTCTCTGAGGTGGCTGTTGTGCCTTGACTTCCAGAGGGTTGAGATGTTTGTAATGTGTTCTCAATCTCTCTTTTAAAGTACATTTTCACAAGGGTTTGGAAATCCAGGCGTGCCCTCAAAATCACACAGCTTCCATGCTGGAGGCCAGCAGGGGGCGCACAAAGCAAAAGGCATTTTTAAGGAAAGTTGCACATCGTGTAATTTTAATCCATTCCGTTTTAAATACCACATAAATTTCATTTTCACAATAAATTAAATAGCCATATTCAGTTTACAAAATAGAATTACTTAGTGTGAAACGGGTATTTACACCATTTACAAATATGTACAGGACATTTTTCTTTGTTGACATACAACATGGAAGTAGAACGTGGTGATTCTCCAGCACATGGTTGACATGCTACAAATGACACCATGGTCCATACGAGGAAACAATAGTGCAAAATCACCACAAGAACTTTGGAACAGTGTCAATTTTATGAGCTAAGACATTCATTTAAACTATAAGAAAATAGCGTATTCTGTTTTCCTGGCACCAATCCACTATTTGAATTAAAGAGCCAATGTTATCTTAGGACAAAAACAAAACAAAACAAAACAAACAAATGAACCGTAAAACTGAATCCTCTACTTCCTGAAGCTTCGTAGCCATTGGTACATTTTCACACATTCATCTTTTGGCTTAAATCTGACAATGGAGAGTGACAAGTTCTGAGTCAAAGGAAGACTAACTTGAGACTATCTAAAGTCACTTTCCTCAATCCCACCACCTCTTCTTTTTCCTTTTTTTTTTTTTTCTGTAAATAGCTTAAAAGATGCAACTATGTAGACAGCCATTTATTATTTATTTTTTGTAAATTTTCAGTAGAAAAACAATTGATCTTATATTTGGTCACACACTGCGTATGTACAACTATTCACGGAAAAATGAGTTTGGGAGCTGTGTCTGGGAAAGTGCATATTTTAATGTTGAGGGGACGCCATGAGTCTCTAGATACAACACATGGTGTTGTATGTTATATTATTTTAGGGCCAGTTCAATGTCCTCCCAGTGATCTGGTAAAATTTTTGATTAAAGGGATGAAAGAATTTGCGCAATTTGGTAACGACAGAGGGGTCTACCTCTGGATGGATGCGCCCCTTGCTGCCCGCCAGGCACTTATTAAAGATAATATTAAATCGCAAACAGTAAAACCCTCTGGTAGCATTGAAATATAAATTGTACTGACTTATCCTTGGAGGAAGGTTTAAGAACTTCTCCACCAGCTGCAGTTCCGGCAGAGGCTCAGTGATGAGACGGTCCCCATCCACGATGTGAAACTGTTCAATGGGAAAGTACTTTAACCAGCGCTCCAGATGTTTCGTGTATATGCTGGTCCTAACCGCCTTGTATTTCGTGTTCACCTCGCAGGTATTGGGGTCTATGGCCAGCTTTTCAAACTTATAGTAGGTTTTGTTCTTCCGCTCCTTCCCCTCTAGCACCTGAGTGTAATCAGAAATCGCTCTTGTGGTCGGCTCCCTGACAATGATCAACAGCTTGATGGATGAGTTCATCTTGTAAATCCTTTCAGGAACCTCTTCTGTGATGAAATATGCCGGGCTCTTTTCAATTGTGATTTGCTGAGGGTAGGAAAAAGGCATCTTTTTCCTGTACCACTCAATGCCCTTGGCATAATTCTCATCATTGTCAAAGAAGTGGATCTCTTGGGAAGCTTTGACCACTGCAGGATGGAGGTTCAACATCTCTAGCAGGGCCCTTGTGCCCCCTTTTCTCACCCCAATGATAATGGCTTTGGGGAGCTGTTGGACCAGGTCATGGAGGCGAACCTGCTCCTTGGAAGAGTTGCCCTTCCGGAACTCATGCAGCAAGCCTCTTTTAAACTGCAGGGCTCGGAGTGGGAACTCAGCCTGGCTGTGTGCACCACCAAATCGACTTTCAACGGGACAAATGGGCTGGAGCCTGCAAGCAAAAGAGAAGGACTGTAAGGAACTTGTCACAATGAACTTCTAGTTCTGCATCTGTGCCAGACTCAAATTGAACATGCATAAATAAAGCCACTGGGTCTCAGGTTGCTGTAATCCATAATGAACATATGTTTGGGAATTTTTATGTTAAGTAACCTTGTATTCAGTGGAGCACACATAATTGATGGGATTTTTTTTATTAGTGCTCCTTAAATTTTTTATTCACCAAGCACTTAATTAACTACAGCTTGTACTGATGCTCACAGTACAGGATAGACAAGTGATGCCAGCCATACTAATAGCTTTTTAACAGTTCACTAGTTAAAATCATTTAGAAAATCAGGAAGGCATAAGATTATAATCTTCAGTAAGGATGCTGAAGGGCAAAGAGGAGGTCGTTTATTCCAGGCATTGTGGCACAGTTATTGTTTCTCTTCTCTCTTCTCTTCTGGCAGCCTGGCAGCACTCAGATAGTCTTTAAACATCCTATCCTTCAGATATAATCTGAGAAGAGACTGTGGTCTTTGCCCTGGGCTTTTTGCACACCATCACATAGAACTCCAGTCTTTATCCTTGCTGAACTTGCTGTTCTGTGAGAATTTCTGCCCCTTGGCCTTAGAGATAGCAAAGGAACACTTTACTTCTGACTCTTTCCGTTTCTGTCTGAAAGGGTCAAGGTTACACTTTCATCTTGCTGATTGTAGGAAGAATCCTAAGCATTACTTCTCTGTGTATGATGAACTACTCCTGGGACCGGAAAACTAGATGAAAGACTCTTATGGGACCAGAAACCCCAAATCATAATCACCATGCAACTTAAGTCAGTAATTAGTAAAGAAAGCAGTGGACAGAGTCAGAAAGGATGAACAGGCATTTATATTTTTCTGAGAAAGATGTGATAATAGCCACAATGACATCAGAACACAATGGCTACTTAAACATGGCCTCTGTATGTGGTTAGAAAATTGTGTTTACTTTTATACATAATCTGATGACACACTATAATCAATGAACCAGCTAGGTTGATTTAGGAAGTCATTTCAGGCTGCTTGGTGAAAGGGATAATAACAGTCAAATTGGAGATTAAATTACATCTTTTAGTTGAAATTTCTTAATGACTGTGGTGATTCTGAATCTCTCTTTCTCTGTTACAATGAGGCATCCTCTTGCTTTCCCAAGAGGTCCCATTGCATTCTTCAAGCTATGCTCAATTCATTATGTAGAACTTGGGAATAGTTTTGGATTTGCCTTATTTATCTAGGTCTCTACATAATCTTTAAGGGAAATATAAATGTATATTAATTTTTACAATTTAAAAAAAACTCATACTCATTTCAGGAAGTTTGAAAACAATGGAAATCTATTGTGAAAACAGGGCTTTCCACAGTTTTGATTAGCATTCATTTTGCTGTGATAAAACATCAATGGCCTAAGGCAGACTTGGGGAGGAAAGCATTTACTTCAGCTTACAGTCCTGACTCCTCTAGAAAGCAACTTACTGTCTTGTTCCTTACAGCTTTCCAAGCCTGCTTTCTGAGGACCACTTACACAGGGTGGCACTGTCCACAATGGGCTGGGTCCTCTGCATCAATCACTAATCAAGAAAATGTACTCAAGGTTTGCCTACAGGCCACTTTATGGAGGCATTTTTTTCAGTTAAGAGTCTCTCCTCCCAACTGACTCTATCTTGGGTCAAGTTGACAAAATAAATCAAAGAAAATTATGCAGGACAACTATAGTTAACACTTTAGGGAAATGCGAATTTATGAATATATTAGGATTATTACACTAGGGTTCTAATTGGATCCTAAAAAGTTATCAACAGATAACATAGTTAAAAGTATTATTGTTTGTGACACCAATGAACATATTATAAATTAACCTCTCTTCTCTTCCTGGGTTTTGTCTATTAAGCTAGACCTAATTCATTGAGGTATCCATTGATGGACATTTCTCCTAGACATCTAGGATGCTAGCTCTGTTTCTGTGAGTACTAACACAATAATCTCTCAAATCATTTTCTGTAAGATTTAATTATCTTTCCCAAGGTTGGATAAAAGTGTTGCCATGGCATCTCTTGGAAAGACTGAGTAGGAATGGAGTCCCACACTGCAATGTGGAAAGGGCCGCCTTCCTTCTGAACTTCTTCCTTCTGAACTTCTTTCTTTCTACTTCCTACTCTGGCCTACCAAACTCTGTAGGAACATTGCTTTCTGCACTTCAGCACTCAAGAGAACATCTAATGATAGGAGAATACTCCATTTCCATGTTCCCTGAAGAACAGTTCTTATCATGACTACCAGACCCTAAGCAGAGTTTAAACACTGTAATAGACAAGACTCCAGCATCCCTCCCAGACAACAGTCTTCAGTTTCTAAGGGTAAGCACATGCCAAACACAATTTGTTCAAAATCTTCAAGAAGGGATTGTGAGAAAGCCCACCAAAAGATGGAATTTCTTATACAAGCCATCCTATCAAGAAGTTGAGAAGGCTAGAGATGAAAACTATTATCAGTTGAATGATAAATGTGTTCAGAACTATACGACCAATCATCTAATAAAACATCAGTGATTGGAAGTTAATTAATGGTGTAAGCAAGACTTCCTGCTAAAGTTCTGTTGTGGGCATAGGACAAATGTTGACACTTTCAAGTTTTTCTCTATTAAATGACATGCCAAGAATAAACACTGGAATGCCAGCACTCCAGCAATGTGCTCGCAATTACATATGTCATAGTTACAAAGTGGAAGACAGGAACTGAACGACCGCAGAGAGAGTTAATGTTTAAAAGTTAAGATGGACATTGAGGAAAAGCAGGGACTTTTGCTGGTTTATTTTTTTTTAAACATTTAAACTACAGGATATTGAGGAGAAAACTGAAACAATTTTTGTTTAAAAATATAGATGAATTTTCGTCAACTCTGGGAATTGAACTGAGAAAGAATCTAGTCTTTTCAGCACAAGAGTTAATTTTGAAGGGGATGGTAGCACGGTAAAAGCAGCTCCATCTTTTAGACTCCTCCATATTTACCATTCGCCCTGACTGTAGAACCATTGAGGAACACCTTAGGGATACTCAACTGTCAAGACAGGGCCTAGTACCTCTCAACTGTTTGTCTATTAAGAGCCAAACCCTAACTCTGTAGTATCCTCTTCATGGATTTTCCAGTGCTTCATGGCCAGTCATTCTGTGTGACAGCATCCTTGCCAAGTACACTCAGTTCCCAAAAGCCAGAGGTAATTGACATAGTTAAAAATCCATGCCTGTAGCCATCTTCCTAGGACAGAGGGTTGCAACCTTGATGGGCTTCTTTATAAATGTGTACATAATTGTTCGTTCATAAATTTCAAAGCCAAGAGACATGGTCCTATCACTAACATGCTGGAATGAATGAAGGTCAGCACCAGATGCACATAGGCTACATTGTATTCTAGTCAGTGACAGTATTACTTATTCATTATTATTTACTGTACACAGCTTTATGCCTTCTGTGAAAACAAGTGTCAGTACTCACAGAATACAGATGGATCTGGATGAAGAATCTCGGTCTGAGCAGTGTGGAGCGTGTTTCTATAAGGTCTTCATGAATCAAAATCAACAACACAGAAAAGTGTGTTTCTTGAGAGTTTTGAGGGACAAAGACGAATGGATACACTAAAGTTATAGCCCAAGGAAGTTCATATCAAGAGACACACAAAACTACATGGGTAGATCATACATTTAATCACCTACCTATCCAAGCTCCCAACTCTGGCAACTAGATACAGGAGGCTCCCAACGGCAAGGCTTCCGAGCACCAGGAGCTTCTGTCTCAGCCACACCTGCTGTTTGAATAGCATGGCCCTCCATCAACCTCCAGGACTGCAGCAGCCTGAAGGGAGAGAGAAAGAGCTATCAGTAGTTGTCACAAAGCCAACCAGAGGTGGACACAGGCCATTAAGCAATGAGGAAATCACATACCAACCATGGCAGTTTTAATGGTGTACCTAATTTTAGTGAAACTTACCTTCAAAAAAAAATAAAAACAAAAAAACAAAACACACACATACATACACACACACACACACACACACACACACACACACACACACACCACACCTGGTCCATGCTATAAGAATAACTATTAGTTCCATGGGAGGATTATACAGAATTTGCTTTGTCCTCAGCAATTTCTACAGCACATAAAAATACATATATATGAGTATACATATTAAACCCTTAAATATAGTTAGAGTTACAGATAGATAGATAGATGGATAGATAGATAGATAGACAGATAGACAGGCAGATTGATATGGTATAGGCCACCCAAAAAATATTGAGAAAATGAGCACCTTGAGGTTTCACTGGTAAGATGACTAACTGGTAAACTGCACTTAGAGCAGAGGCTGAAATTCTGGTTTAGTAAATGATCATTTTGGCTATAGTGTGGCATCCTTAGCTTATACCATTTTGCTTTGCTTCAGTGTGAATGAAGGAAACGGGCAGGATTCAAAGTGACTGCTTCCTGTCCAGCCCACTGTATACGAAGACACTGGCTCCAGGGAGCTTGCTGTTTGCTGTCATGTCACATCCCAGTCCATGATGCTAGAAACACATTCTGACAGGGTGGCCCTTCCCTAGGCTCCTGGGAAAGTTGAATAGGTTGGGTGGTATCAGGCCTGCTTTTACCTTTCCAGCTTTGTTCTCTTATACATAAGAAGTGTAGTGTAAGGCTTTCCTTGTGCTGTTATTACATTCTGGAGAAAATATATATATATATAAGCTCCCAATTCAGACTTCTTATTAAAAATAAATCCAATCCCCTTTCAAGATAAGATTGTTTCCTTCTTACTGAAACTGAAAATAGTAGCCTGAGAAGAAGGAGGCTGAGCCCTGGCTGAAAGTGATCTCACTTCAAAGGCATCTCTACGTTTTTTATGTGAAGATTCCCACTATGCAGAAGGGATATGCTGCAATGGTCAGGTTGATGTATATTTGCATTTATCAAGAAACTGCTGAGTGCCAACAGCATCTTCTACTCTCAGAGTAGGTACATGGGAGATTTAAGAAATGTTCTGAATGAGTTTCAGTCCTTGGGCAACCAATCATGTGATCAGAGAATCATGGAACAACCGGAGAACACAACTCAATAATGTGTAAATAAGTGTCAGTGAAGGAGATTTAAGGAAAACACCAGAGAATATGGTCTCCATAAAATCCAGTTTTTATTTACCAGAGATACTGCTGGAAGTCATCCTAGGAGAGTGGATAAGAGCAGATGAAGGAGAATGTCCACATGCCAAGTTCTGTGTTGGGTGCTACAGAGACTCATTGTCAACTAAATAGACACAGTTCTTGGCCACTGTGGAAAAGATAGATGGTAAGCCAACACAGCTATGTAAGATTGAAAAATATGTTCAAATTGTATTAAATAGCATAAAAGAAAATTACAGCGAGGGGAGAGAAAAGAGTGGTCTGCTGGGGAATGGGTGAGGTCACCTGTGGTTATGACTTATTAAGGTTTGGTTTGTAGGCAATAGCCTAGAAAAGAGAAAGAAGATGAAAAGAAGTTTATTGAGGCCTTCTCTGTGGTAAGCACAGATGTCAAGATGCTATTTTAGGAAATCCCAAAGAATAAACAAACAAGACAAAACAAACAAACAAACAAACAAACAAACAAACTGTGAGATAGGAGGAGTTTCATAGACCTCATAGGCAAGTTTCATAGGCAAGTCCACAGTTTGTCTCACTTCCTATGGCTACAGAAGTCCCAGGTATTGAAAAGGCAAAGGTAGTGCCCATGGCATGTGGAGTAGTTTCTGGAATGTCTGTCTATATTAAGGGAATTAATATATTACAGTCTTCAGTCAAACTAACCCAACAATGGGCAGCTGTGAATGGGAAGTCCAAGAGTCTAGTAGCTGCTCAGTCCCATGAAACTAGGTATCTCAGCTGGTCTTCTGTATAAGTTGGAATCCTGAAGAAGTAGGCTCCAACAGATGTGCTGGCAAGTAAGTGCTAGCAGAAGGAGAAGAATACAAAGTTCTTCCATTGTTCTATGTAGGCCTCCAGCAGAAGGTATGCCCCACATTAAAAGTGTGTACCACCTGGATCTAAGCTGTTCTCTACTTGGAACTTACTCTGTCCCAGGTTGGCCTTGAGCTAAGAGATCTGCTTGGCTCATCTTCTGGGATTAAAGGTGTGTATACCACCTTCTGTGGGCCTAAGGTTTTCATGGCCACTGTGTTTCAGGATCCATATCAAGAAGCATGTGTCATTCCATGTCAAGATCCAGATCACAAGTGTGTCCTCCATTTATGGCTTGTAGTTCATTTCAGATACAGTCAAGTTGACAATTGGGAATAACCATCATAGCATGAGATTTAGAACTGTTCTGAAAGCACCACTAGCCTTTCTCTGGGTTGATTCCCAAGGGTCTCAGAGCCACATCCTAAAGTACAGGGCTTTGGCCCATGCACAAATGTGAACAGTGTGGCAGGAAGCATATCAGGGTGGAGAGCAAGGAGGTCCTGACATTCTCTGGACCTTTCTCTGCTTATCCACAGGTAGAACGGTTTGTGACTTCCCCACATGCACTGATTTGAATGAGAAATGTTCTTCATAGGCACAAACATCTGAATGGTGGTACCTGGTTGATGGTGCTGTTTGGGAAGGTTACAGAACATTTAGGTGGTAGAGGAGCCTTGCTGGAGGAAATACATCCTTCTGGCTTTAAGGTTTTATAGCCTGGTCCCATTTCCTGTGTTGCCATGCCTCCGTGGACTCTACCCCCCTAAAACATAAGCCAAAATAAATTCTTTTCTCCTCTAAGTTGCTTTGGGTGACGGAATTTTACCACAGGAACAGAAAAGTAATGGATGCACCATGCCATAATGCTACAATAAGAAGGAAGTCAGGGTTCTGTAACAGCACTCCCCAAAGGCTTGTTTGCTTTCCTGTTTAAAGGATTATACATCCTCTGTGCTGTAGTATGAGTGAATAAAATGTGTATCCAGAGAAGAGCAGCGTGAGCCGTGGAGAGAAGCTGTAAATGTGCTTGATAGGGAAAGTTCATGGCTTCAGTAGGAGTCACCAGCCTTCCACGGAGGAACAAGAGAGCAGGGTGAGCAAGCAGTTCGGCTTTTCTGAGTATTTTCATATGCTGTCTACACGATATGCTCAAAAGGGTATAGCACAATGCTTTATCTACTGACCCAGACCCCCCGTCCACCCTCTTGTCTCCTTTTTACATTTTAAATTTATTTATTTATTCACTTTACAACCCAATACCAGCTCTTCCTCTCTACTCAGTATCCCCTTATGCACATTCTCATCCTATTCCAGTCCACCTTCCCTTATCACTTGAGAAGGGGAAGCCTCTCTCTGGGTGTCACCCCCAGTTACCACCCACCCCCAGTTACCGCCCGCCCCCATCAATTTGCTGCAAGGCTAGGCACATTCATTCCCACTGAGGCCAGACAAAGCAGTCCATTTAGGGGCATGGGATCCCCAGGCAGGCAGGCAGGCAGGCAGGCCAGCAGGCAACAGGCTCAGGGACAGCTCCTGCTCCAGTTGCTGAGAGACCCACAGGAAGACCAAGCTGCATACCTGCTGCACGTATGCAGAGGTCCTAGGTCCAGCCTGTGCTCGCATCTTTAACTGCATTCCACCTAACCTTTAAGAATCAAGATATGTCCTGGCTCTTCTATGAAGCATTCTCTGGTGGAGGCTGCTGTCCATGGTCTTCTTTAAGTGGCACCGATTTCTCCTTCCTGCACTCAAGCCACACAGACACTTCACTGTTCTTAAGTATTTGGCTGCTGTTAACCATTGCCTTCTCTACATATTACTACCATGTTCCTGTGGGGACTAAGCCAATTGATGCAGTTTACAACTATTGGAAAGTTAACTGAAAGCCCTGGAGCTTGACCCAGTCTGCTGTGTTGTCTGGGCCAGCATACTACCCAAGGAGCCTGACAGAGACATCTTTGAAACACACCTGCCCCCATCTTCAGAGGTCCTAAGCCAATGGGTCTCCATTCAGCTTGCATTTGCAATTCCAGGTTAGCAAACCACCTCACTTGACATTGCTCTCCACTACCATGTCTGGCCACTCTTGCCAGCGAGTTCCTTCATGCCTCGATCTGTTCAGGTGCTCAGACACCCGCACATTTTTAATACTCACTTTTAAACACTTAGTTAGTTAACATCTTAGTGCATGACAATATTGAATCATAATGACTATCTTGAGGAGGGAAATAAATTAGTTCTTGCACTGTATTTTAAAGAGGTGAAGAATAGAATAAATGTAGTTCTCATGGACAGTATAATTGGACTGTGAAGATATAGGTTCATTTTAAACATAAAAACTTTTAATGGGATCTCCCATTAAATGTTCAAGTACTAACACTGAAGTTTCTATTCAAGCAAGATGGTGGTCACAGATACAGGCTCATTCACACAGACCACACAGTCAAGGCTTGTCTTCATGAGCTAAACCGTATTTGGACTTTTGAGGGACAGGGACGTCTCATCAGCACATCCCAGTGAGACCCTTCAGCAGACATCTAAAGCAACATTTCCTTCTGCTTTACAGCCAATCTCAGGTGACAGGGATAATGAGAACAGTCTCAGAATAAATTTTCCTCAAGAAAAATGAAGATACTGGCTTATGAGTCAGGATGCATTTTGTCTTCCTATAGTATCAGGAAGTGCTCAAGACTCTACAAAAGTTGGAGGCTCGAAAGCTAGGAGTTGTACCTCTTAGTCTGAGAACACTACAAAATGGTATGCATTCAATCTTTATAGGTAACGGTATCAAACTAGATAGTTAATGATATTTTAGTAACAGTTCATTGGAGAAGTTGTAGTGGTTAATTTTGGTTGCCA